TTTTTTTTACATATTCAGCTGGAGTTTCGCCAATTCATGAAATTCCGCTTTTACTACCACTGTTGCGAAAATTTGCGGAAAGACAAACAATAACGGTAAATTCGCGGAGGTCTTGTTGATATTATCTGCTTTGGATCAATGACCTTGTCATATTGTGGAACATCAACATACCAAGTACATACTGCCAGGCCGCCGAAGCGACTACCAAATCTCGATCTCAAGCGAAAGCGGTACTTTCGTGGTCGAAAAAAATCCTCGCTTTCTTCACCACTCTCGCGCTGACGTGCAGATCGACATCCAAGGCGATCCACATGAGCGACAAGCATGCGTCTCTTTTCGCGGTAACGCCTTTGCACTGCAAGTTTCTTGGTATTAGCGTCGTGACTGATCCTACGAAGCCGCTACAAGTAGTTGTGGTAGTTGGTACCATCTTCACTGCGTAGTGGAAGAATTCGCACATGAAAATTGGTGAGAGCTACACACGCACGAAAAAAACATGTCGTAGTTGCCTTCATCCCACCGGTATTTGTCTGATCACATTGCCCATAGCGTGCAGAGGCGACCGAAATAGTTCTCCACGAGGACGCGGTCATGGGCGATGCGGTCATTAGTCTCCATTTGCTCCAAGGTCAACTCCCGCAGTGGCTGCTTCTTGAACGGCGTGATGGCACGAAAGTCAGCGGCAAGTCCTTGGTACCCCTTATCAGCTAGAACAGCCCACGAGTCGGGATGCTCAGTCGTTAGAGGCCCTTCATCGGCTAGTTCAGTCTCCATCGAGCTCATAAGAAGATGTTGGAGGTGAAACTCGTGGTTGTTGCGGAAAATCTGGATATCCGCTTCACTGCCAGGGTAATGCGCCGTGCAGTTGAGTGCAAGGCCATTAGGAAGCACAGATACCTCGACTTTGTAGCCGTGAAGATGATGTTTGGCCGGTCGGCATGTTGCTCTGCTGGAAAGTAACATCCGGGGCGTAGCGAGCGCTTGGGTAGTTATGGAACGTGTTGTCTCCTAGCACGAGCGCCTCCATCGTGAATTTGCCAGCCGCGGACACCACATACTTCTCGTAGAGGTACGGAGACACAACCTCCGCAAATGAAAGTATCATCTTTTGAAATGTTCCTGTCTTGATGCGGAGGACGTTTGCCACCACGTCCCATTTCCCACAGTGCTTAAGGACGACCAGGAACATGAACAGCACGTCCTTGGGCTGCTGCTTGCTCTTATGGCTACGGCCTACATTCCAGTGGTCAGCCGCGTGCGCTCGAATAGAATTCCACAAGCGCTCAAATTCCAGTGGCGCAAAGTTTGTCAGTGTGGCAATGCTCTGAGTATCGTCCCGCAGAAATTGGTGGTAGATCGGAGACGGCGAGTCGATGTCATCGTTGTCGTCATCTAGGCGCACAGAGGATACGCATTGGCGGCGAGATTGGCAGTCAGCGTCGAGCTGAGAGAGAATGGAGACTCCTTCAGCAACTCGCTCAGGGGGGAGTAGCCGGTTTAGGTCTTTGGGGGGGGGGGGCTTGTTTGGGAGGGTGTCATGGTCATAGGTGTTGTAGACTGCAAAATGAGAAATGTGGGGCAAGCTAGTGGAGTAGTCAATCCACCACCAAGTACCTTATCGTGCGCGCGAGATCGAACGAACAGCGATTCTAGAATCTTCTGTTGAAGTCTAGATTTCCTAGTATTATTGGCATACTTTTTGATGTATTCGTTCATTCGGTCGCGTGGGCATTCCTTCGCTTTGCATAAATTTCCACGTCATGTTCAAACTTTGCTCGGGAGGTTTATTGGGGGATCGTGTTGCTACCCCCAAAAGTGACTCAAAATGATAGGATCAAATTAATGGGTACAGTGTGATGACCTGATAACATATGGCACTGGCGCCCGTAATTTACTTGAAACAGTCTGCTGTAACTTATTTCATAATAGGTACCATGTGAGCCCACCAATGGCATTGCTTAATAAAACAGTTGTTGTCCAGCGGCTTCATAGAGAGGAGGACAAAACAGTGTAGTTAAATATGTACGTTATAAACTTCAATTTTTTGAAAAAAATCCTTGGCGAGCATTAAAAAGTGCGCTCCTAAAAGTGCTAAGTCTTTGCCTTTTGGTGTTTGGCAAATTTTTGGTTTGATCACCGAAAGTGTGAATATATATAAAATAAAAGAGACCAGTTTCCTACTCTAACTTCGGCCATGATGCTTATATGACGCTTTAGAGCTTCCACATTGTACAAGTTGCGCATACGCAAGTAGTCCAACACATCATAGAGGGAGTCGTTCCAGAAGTCGCTCCAGCAGCCCCAAACAGCAGCAGCTCCAACACAACGAGACACCATACGCCACACGACGAATTGTCCTTCTGTAAACAGCCAGTAACGACTTCGTAGGAAAGGTTGTCCTCGATTCCGAGCGTGGGATCGACAACAGCACCCACTGCACTCTTCACTTGCGACAGGTTGGTTCTCAGTTGCATGGGGTCAAACAGGTAGCAGGTAGTCGTGTCGAGGTTCACGAAGAACGCCCCCCCCCCCC